TCTCTTGCGTGCGGTATGGATGTATTTATGTATGTTTGATATGCTTGAAATTCATGGTTTATTTTATGGCCGTTGATTTAATGTGTACAGTACTATTTTTGGATTTTCCGGATGTCATTGTCGTGTGTGTGTTTGTAATGCGATTGCTTACTGCCGCTTCTCCTTCTTCATCTTCTTCTTCGTCGTCCTCTTTGTCGAACCATTTTTGTAATTGGCATATCATCATATCAAATGCATTCATTCGCGTAAGTAAACATCATAATCAAAATTGTTCGTACAATAATCGAATCTATATCGGACACCGAAATCAATCAATAAATAGCATAGTCCATTAAAATTGCTGGTCTTTTTGTGTTGAACAAAGCGCAGCGCCAATCGTTATTCGTCTTTTGTGTACTTTGATAAATATATATGCTTGCATACACTACTTTGTACTATCGTTCATTGTTACATTCATTACTTGGAACATACGTTCAATACAATTCAAATCGTTTCTTTTTCGACGACTTATTCGTAAATTGTAATGTCATCTCTAATAATTCACACACGCACACCACTCCAACACAATCTGTTTGGAGAAAAAATTATATATTCAAAGTACCTAGCTACTGCGAATCAATGATAAATACATAATAATGTAGCTCGTTAAAGAACACGACTTGAATATTAATTTTAAGGAATTAAACGATAAATCATCGTAGATTCTTTCTTAATTATTTCACGATGAACTCACACTACACATAGTGATGAGTGTGAGGATTGAGAGCGAGGGAAGGAGAGAGAGAGAGAGATGGAGTGACAGAAAAGTGAAAAAGTTTATTCAAATCGAAGTCGATTCGAGAAATTCCATGCAAAATAAAGCAAAATTCAAATCGAATGAGCCATAAATCAGACATTGAAAGACTTTGATCGGCAATGGTGGAAAATGGATGAATAGCGCCATTGATGAAGAATACGTTTGGAATAATTTTTGACTAATTAAATGTGTGCGTCTTCTTTTTTGTCTTCGTTAATTCCAAAGCCACTTCAGATAATCCAGTTTTAAATCAACATTTGCATAAATAATCGCTAACACACCGAAGATTCATGGTGTGTTTGATGGAATGGCTTGATTTTGATGAGAAATCGAAAACGCGAGACTATGCTGCGCAATTCGTTACGAATGAGAAAAAAAAATTGCCGAATAAAAAATCCAATTTAATTGTTTATCGAGTCTAATGAGGCAATTTTCTCTTTCACTCTGTCTCTATTTCTGCTGTGTGTGTGCTATGGGAATGTGACAGAAGAACAAAATTTATGATATATATGACATGAATTCGGAACGAAAAGTTATAAATTTTGAGCATTCTCTCTCTGTGTGTGCGTGTGTGCTGGAGAGAAAGGCATGAAATAGATTGACGTGAATGATAAAATGAATGATATGTTTGATTCGAGATAATTTTTAGTGAAAGAATCGCTGAACTTCATGTAAACCATCTAATATTCAAATGGGTTCGATCGAAAACCGAGGAAATCTTCGCTATTTCGGTTAAACATGCTCGATTCCAAATAGACTCGATTCGAAGCCACAGAAAGTGATATTTAACTAGCGCGACCACATGCGCTCTTTGTAGCCAAGTTCAACGCTGCTTTTGTGATTTGGTTTTTGATTTCAGCAGTGATTTTAAGCGGGTATCACATTTACAAAGCCATTTTTTAATCTCTCTTTCTCTCTCGCTCTCTCTTTCTATGGGCTGTTGATCAAGTTTTGTGGTCTGTTTTCTGTCTGTTCACACACAAAATGCAATGCAATTCGTGCATCTTTTCAGCCCGTTACTTCTAAGTTACACATCGAATATCGCGCATTGTTTGTTGTTCTTGTTTCCGCTTTGCGCTTGTTTTCCTTTCATTTATTGTTTACTTTGGATATGAAGTTTTTTTTTATTTTTATTTTGTTCAAATCGGTGCGTTCGCTTGTGCATAATCCGATGAACATGCTTATACATACATTCCATTCCGACGGCTTTGTAATTACTGGTGCATATTGTGCACACGCGATATATACTGTATACACATTGTAATACAAAATTGTTATAAAACCAAACCAAACCATAACATTCTGTTTTTTTGTTCGATTTTTTTCTCTTCTGTTTTCGTCGAAATCGAAGTGAAATGGAAACACACTCTTATACGTTCTACTTTCATCTTTATCTTGCCCAACATTCATGTTGCATTCAATATTTTTTTGTTTCTGTGAATTTCGTTTCATTTATGTCGAATTTTGTTGGAGTGTAACTGTTCCAAATGGATTAAAATTGCTGCTTCACAAATCACTTTGAAATATCGATAGCAATTAACGTACAATGTCTCTTTTTTTTCAAGTGGTTCGCGGTGCGAATGTCTTATTCCGGGCTGAGAGAATGAGCACTTATTTCACGTCTGTACGTGTGTGTGTGTGTGTGTGTGTGTATGTGACAGTTAAGCGGATTTTGATAACATCGAGAGGTTGTAAATTCGGTTTGCTTTAATTTCATTGTGTCACACGTGTAATATGTTCAAGTTTCTATTTGCTGATCTCTTCGCTTCGCGCAAATGCCACCAAATCGTCAAAATAGCAATTGAGCTGAACACCGTTATGTCGCGTTTTATCGTCGACCGAAACGGAAGTCATTTTCTTAGAGACAAAAACTATTTGTATTGCAGCCGCCGTATTTATTTTAAGAACATTTATAGTCTTATGCAGTTCTCTCTTATCTTTCACTTCGTGTTGAATTTGGATTTCAATATCCCGTGTATGGAAACGTAGCGTCTCCATTTGGAATTTCAGCCATAATTCAATTCTATCAATTTACGGTTAGAATGCATTGAACGAAAAATAGGTTGATAATGATGTAATTTCGCTGTGAACGCAAAATGACATAAAATATTTCGAATCGAGATCAAGACACAAGAAGAAATGAAAGGAAATCAAAATTATCATTTACGAATGAATTGTTGACTCGATTCACTTCCATCTAATTAACGTTTTATATCAAATGTGAATTGATCGCTCGAAAACTGGGACAAACATCGCAAAAACAAAATGCAACGAGAAGACGAAGAGAGAAAAAGCAGCAACAACATCACAAACAACTTCAACATAATATCATATTCTGTATGAGCTGTACATATTTCAATGCACCGTTCAAAGCGAGTTCAAATGGTTCAGATTGCATCAAGTGAATGCAAAACGTTTACAACGCCATTGTCGACCGTTAGTCAAAATGTCAATTCACAACGGCAATAAAACATTCAGCTTTGTAATATCGTTATCAATTTTACTTTTTCCTTCAAATGATCGCAACAACACAGCCAACAAACAGTCTGTTATTATACAGTCGCCTTCGAGTGAAAAAAAAAACAAAACGAGAACAACACATTCAAACCACAATTCAAAGCACTTGTGTGCTCTAATAAACCGAACTGTGTGCAGCAATACTTTGAATTGCATTGTGTCTATTTGATTGCAATTTCCATTCTCCGGTTCAATTGGAGATAATTTGATTTAGTCGGGTACTTCATGCCGTCAACATTTTTTTTGTTTTCGTTCGCCGTCTTCAATTCAAGCACAATTTATTGTTATTACAAGCGATTTTAATCCGTTATGTTGATCTGATTGCAATGATATACACCTCCAAATGCGACGACCATTGGCACGACTGAGATTGAATGCATATGAAAAACCACTTCAATTATGTTTGCCTGATGGGGAAATTGTTCGCATATCTGATGAATGAAAATAGCATAAGGGACGCACATGTGCCAAACATTCTTTCACTATATTTTCCTCGAACATATTGCTCGAAGCATCATTTTTAGCGTAATTCATTCGCTGGAAGAGACAACTGCCAACTTGCAGTCGTCATTAGTGATCTGTGTTACTGTGCTACCGTTTTTACAGTTTCATACATCAATTAAATCGGATCATTTTTTTTTTCATTTTTCCGACGAATAAATGAAATACGACCGCGATTAATAAATTACGGTGCTACTGGTCTTGCAAAAATCCTTTGATTATTGTTTTTTTTCTACATCAAATTCCTGCTTAATTGAATCGTTTTTTTTCTTGTGATTATCAGAGCTGTTATTGAGAAGTTGTAGCAGTAGTGAGTGTCCGCCTGGGTACCCGCACTTATTTCATATAATTTTTCAAGTACGACACCTGAATACATGAAAAAGCAGTACTTGCAAGAAAAGTGACCGCACCTTCGCGGTGCCTATAACAACTCTAGCGACTATTGAATGTACCGATTCTTAGAAAGTATATTTTTAGGCTATCTATCTTTAGTTTACAGCATATGTTTTGCGGTATCTTCTTATGAACCCCAATGAATAATCCAAATTCGAAATTAACACATGCTTGAGAAATATATATTAATGCTATTTTTAGCCTATGGCTTTTGTTCGCATATCATTTACATTGAAGTTGTGGTCTCCAGTTGACAATAGCCACGGACAAAATGTCATGAGCGATAACATTTTGCACAAAGCACTTGATATATTTCAATCCTTTGTGTATTTACTAAATTTGCTCCAATAAAAATGAATGAAAGAAAAAAAGCGTTCGCTCATTCCTTATCAATAAAACATACGCTGCACCACGTATTCTAATATGTATGTTTGCCTATTTTTCAAGTCCCGCAAGGCGATAGTGTTCAATTTAAACTGACCGGCAGTGTGAAAGAGAAAGAGACGAATGACTCAACTCGAACTGACGCAAAACAAAACAAACCAAGAGAGGAGAAGAAAAATATAGTTGTTTGTATATGAATCGTACTTGAGAACTACATTCATAAGCAAATCTCATATTGCTGAATACGCTATACGTGCTGTCTCACACTCAATCGTACGCATACCAAAACACAAACCGTCATATCAGTTCGGTTACAGTGTATTTCAGAACGATAGTGGATGTGCTGTCAAACATACACATGCACATAAACGGCCTTTAATAGCAGTGTACGACGTCGCCATATTGAAACATCGTCATTGTACTCAGAGTGTTCAGTTCAAGCGAATTAATTCTTCCGCAGTCAAACCGATATAAACGAAATAAATTGCAAATTATTCAATAAATTGTCAGTCAAATCTTGAAATTCAAATCGCCAACTGTGAAATTTAATTTGTGTGAATAGTTTTCAATACTTTAAAGGTACGATTAGGTGTGATTTTCGTTTGGTTTTTTTCCATTGAAACGCAACAATCAGCTGTGTGGTGTTTTGTCAAAACAAAGAACGCAATTATAGTGAAACGATTTTTTTTTCTCTTTGTCTCTAGACTGATTTTTTTCAGACGAAAATACACGAAATTAATTCAAATATGAAGTGGTTATACGTTTTTGTGGCTATTTTCTTGACGGTCAGTGCTGAAGAACAAACCTGTTCCACCGATATTGTCGGCAATTGCAATGGTGTCATAGGTAATTTCATGAAATTCCAATGTTTTTGTGTTTTTCGTCCATCGCCTCTATGACATAAACTCTCTGTGTTGTGTAAAACTGCGTAGAAAAATTGTGTTAAAAGTGAGGTTATGTGCGATTTGTCTATTGATTTTTTGTTTGTCTATATAGCAAAAATAACACAAAAACATTTTCATTTGTCACGTCCTGTTTGTTCATTTCGTTAATTGAAAATTGAAACAACAATCGTTTTTTTCTTTTCGTTCGTGGAATTTTTTCAGATCAAATTGCTAATTGTAATGCCAATTTCTCTGGATTTTCGTCGGGTATTCAACATCTTCAAGCTTATTCCAATGAACAATTGTTGAAATCATACGATTACTTATTGTTGGCGGCCAATTTTGGTACATTCGTTAAGAATCGTCCCGGTTTTGAAAAACAATTCCGTGGATTGTCCGATACTGCATGGGAACGTTCAATCAATTTGATTAAACACATTACCAAACGTGGTGGACAACATGATTTCTACATTCGTCACACTGCCACTGTTGCCACACCACAAAAACGCGTTTTGGAATTGAACGAAATTAGCGCATTGGCATACGCTTTGGACACGGAAAAAGCATTGGCTACAGAAGCTCATAGTTTACACGAAAGATACTCACACGCCAACCACAAATCACACTATGACGCTGAGGTACGATAAATTCAAATGAAAATGAACAATTATGATAATGGCCATTGACAATTCATGTGAAAATATGTATGTTCTTTCAGGTTGCCCATTATTTGGAAGAGAAATTCATTGAAGACCAAGTCTCAACCATTCGTAAGCTCTCTGGATACACCAACGATTTGCGTAAATTGTTGGATGAAAGTGTTGATGGGTCTTTGAGCCTTTTCATGTTCGACGAATATCTTCAAAAGCAATAGTCACCTGATATAACCAACGTCACGAATTTTTTTCCCTCAATTTTTGTTACAAAATTTTCTGTGGTTTTTTTTTCTTCTATTTTTGTTCCATATTATATGTGTTTATTGATACGGAAATTCATTTTTAGTCATAGAGAATAAATAAACTTTGTACCAAAATCACAAATTTCCGTACAGATCAAATTCGATAATAAAGTGTAGCATACACGTAATTAAACAAAGGAAAATTACCATGTTTATATTTTAAATTAGTTTACGACGCATATTCTCATTGCTTTATTGTTCTAGATAAAACGTATTAAAAAAAGAAGAAAACAAAGCAAAACAGCGTGAATCATTGGCACATGATAAACAATTATGCATACGAGTGCATATTCACATGGGTCGACTACGCCCGTTTTGTCATTGATCAAACTCACCGGATACAAACTGATCTTTGTAATTCTCTTATTTTCTCATTAAATTTTTTAATTTCGCAAAAATAAAAAGGTGTAAATTTCGCCACTATTGCGCAATTGAAACATAATATGGTGTGATATTTGACAGCAAATTATACAATTGGCTCTTGATTGATCTTATCGCCTTCGAAAAATAGCAAATACCTCGCAAATTGCGCATTTTGGGGAGTTTCAAGTGTTTTTAAACAGCGTGGAATGCTGACTCTATTGCTTTGTTATCATGTTTTGATCGTCAATTCATGCGATTTATCATTGTTATCAGGTACTTTTGACAAAGCTCCCAATATTATCTCAACCCTTTGTTGGCAACAAACCAAAGTTCAGCTTATTCCATTTTTATTCGGCGGATAATCATAAACAATTTTTAATTTGCAAAACTCAACGCTGTTGTTGAAAGATAATTTCCAAAAATCGACATCGTGCATGATTGGACACATTTTTGAGATGATTTTATAAGTGTGTGATGTGCGATAATGCTTTCGCACGAACCGAGAATTTAAAAAAAAGTTGCTTCCAACGTAACAGCATGGCTGGTGGCTGCGGAATTGATGTATTGCATTTGAAATGAGCGAAAAATGTGTTGTGCCAAATCAAATAGATGAAACATTTTTGCTGTCGCCGCAACTTCTGTTTATGCATGAATAAACTTTTCTCTGTTGCGGTCGAGGCTAGAGTAACATAGAGAGCGTGAGAGAGAGAGACAGTTACATTTTATTGTATATTTTGTGTCGCACTTGGATATTCGGATATTCCATGCGATGTGCTTGTGTGTAATGCAATCGCCACAGTCACAGTCTCGCATTTACACAGTCACATAATAACGATACGGTGTTATATCTATATATATGATTGTTTTTGCGCTCTCGCGGTTGGTGTGTAGTGCACTGTGGATGTGGTTTGATATGGCTATACGAACCGTCATCATATGGCGTTGCAATCCAAAGTTCATTCGAACCGATGTTGGTTTCTGCCACCACAGGCGGGAGAGCGTTAAATAGAGCGAGTTCGAGTGTGCATGAGCAAAAAAGTTGATGCGAACAAGTTTTCTGATTTATCTTAGTTACCTTTTATGAACTTCGTATCACATCAGACAATTTTGTCTTCCTTGCTGTGGCCCATTGTCATTTATTATTATTTTTGTGTGTTTTATTGAGCTGCCGACCAAAACTGATCTCTTTCTCTTGCTCACTTCATTTCTGCGGTGTGTACTTTTTTTTGACGATTCTGTAGCGCATGTTTATTACTTTGTTGCCCTTTACAAAACGTTGATATGTTCATTCAATGAAACAACGCGATGAAAAATAAGAGCAAACAAATCACACACAACAAAAAAATCGAAATTCGCGTCTCACATTCTATGTTTGTACTTTATTCGACTTTTGTTGTTGTTTTTCTTCGAAATTCTTTGTGGAATTTGCTTCACATTTTAATCGTTACACGTCCAAAGGTTGTACGAAGTTCCAATTTTCTTCGTCTTCAGCAACAACAATTCAGTTTCTGTTCTATTCTGTTTGGGGGCTTTCGTTGTTGTTTCGAATATATATGCGCAATGCATACAGAAAAAAGAATTATTGAAAGACAAATGTAGGGAAACGCAATCAACAATCACAATGATGCTCAACGTAAATGCATTAAAAGAGGCGAGACAAGAAAGAAGCATCTTGTACGTGATGGATTCTCTGTTCACACAAATTCCGTTCGCCTTTTTTGTGCATCCGCACAAAAAAACGAACAAAATGAAAAATAACAGCAACAGCAAGTCTTAAATTGATATGAAATGCGGAATGTTCTATGTGAATTTGGTGACTGAAGATTTCCTATCAATATTTCAAGTCAAGTAAACGCTAGAGTGCAAGAGAACTGCATCGATGGACGAAAGAGTGGGAGCGAGACAGAGAGGGAGACCAACACGATCATGAATAATTCTCTTTTTGCCCTTTTCGCATCGCACACAGTCCATAGTCTATTCACTATGATTTTATTTGTTGTGCTTCGGAATCAATATCCGATTTATTTCATCTTATTTTCCAAACACACACACACATACACAAAAATAAGCGAAGAACAAAAACGATGAACATTGAACCGGCAATAAACTGAGAGAGTTTTAGCGATGGCTTCACTAACTGAACAAAAGTCTAAAGTACATGAGAAACAATGTATAAACAAACAAGATGAAAAAAACATCGGAGATTTTGCTCGTCTGCTACCAACTTTTGGACCTTTGTACATTCTCAGTTGCAATCGTAGACCTGAAAAGTTACGAAACTTCAACTTATATTATGTATCCCATGTGATTTTGATTGAATGTGATCTTGAAAAGGGTATTTTTTCTTCTTTTTAAAAACTTCTTTCACGGAAGAAAAATATTCAAATTCAAACTATAATGGATCATTTAAAAGTTCTGACATTTTTGGTGTTTTTATTCGATATTCGTAAATCTTTCAGCGAGCAATACTTTTCTCTCATATGAGTGGTGAAACGAAGAAAGACGAAACATGAAAATAAATTCTGTCATTATTTGGTCCGTGGAGAATGGCAGAATAAAAGAGCATGTTATGAAATAAGAAAGGCGACAAAGAGAAAAACCAACCTGAAGAAGCACAAGGCGATAACATTCAGTTGTGTGATATCATGATGTATCACCGAGCGTTGAAAATTGACTCTTCAGCAGAAAATTCAATTGAAACTTGATGACAAAGTTGATATCATCCTTTTTGTCTTGCTGTTCTATTAGCTGTTGTTGCCGTCTGTGACTGTGTCTGCTGACTTTTTGTATTTGTGTGTTGGGTTATCGACCCTGACGTCAACACCAGCAGCAGCACATCATAAGTAACAGACTTATTTTCGGTATATACAAACTCCGGAGATTTATTTATGCGATGAACGATGCACACCCGAAAATACCATCAAATTGCCTGACCATTTTATCAGCGATTAACTGAAATATGGTAAAGCTCTGTCTCACACTGTCTCATCTGTTATGATTCAAACTGTGAATTTAATTAAGATTCAAAAATGCTCTTGTGTAATGCAATATGAGGCGATATGAGGATAACAAGCAACTCAATCAAAGTGTAATAAATAACCGTTTTTCCGGTATGCATTTTATGTTAAATTATGTGTTAAAATATCTCTCGTTCCGTGCACTTTGAACATCAATTAATGCAGCATAAATTTAAATTTAACACACCATTTTCGTGCTTCACATGTTTACGCTTTTCCCCCCGAAATCAACTCCGTTCCAATAGGCCAAACAGTTTTTTTTCATTGTTGTTGTTGCATTTACATACCGAAAAAAATGCAACAACATCGTCAATTAATTTTTTTGAATATGGTGAGGCGAGAAGGGAACAAGAGAAACAGAGTTCGAAAAAGTAAAAAATAATCACACTTCATCGAACAAGCAGCGGCTAAACTGTGAGTGTTTTTATTTAAACATGGTTCAGTATGTTTATTGTTGTTGCTTTTGTTGCTGCGTTGCTCATTTACTACCGAAGTAGTCATAAAAAGTCATAAAAAAAAGAACAGAGACTGTGTAAATATCGAGTGGCTCGCGTGAAAATAAAACTTTGGCGTCGATCAACGCTCTAATCAGATACGACAGAGTGATTTTGATGTGTTGGTCCACGTATTTCATTACACGAATAAAAAACCGAGACTTAAAGAAATTAATCCACACTGATATAAGTGGCGATCAATACGACCAACAGACAGTTCACAATCGCATCACATCGAAAGCATTTTTCTGCTCGGATTTAGAATCAAGCAACGAGTATCTCTAGTATCTTTATTAATATTATTGTCATTTTTATGACCTGAAGCTCTCTCATCTTTGCTGTAACAAATGTGAAACGAAGTTGACGCCGAAGTCGCAGGCGAATGGCCGAACTGAAAGTGATGAAACGAAGGCAGCAAAAAAAAATCTCGTTCAACATTCGTCTCGATGCGATTAAATTGGATTAAAGTGATTGAGTGCGTACGAATTGTGTGTGCGGGTATTTGTACCATCCAAGAATATTAACGAATGAACACACAAAAGCACCATTACAAATAAAATCAACGAACGGCGTGCACTAACTTAAAACGCCATCAATTTGGACACACACACCGAAGACGAAACACAAAAAAAAACTATCTAAAAACGAAGAAGAGTCTCTTACTTCCATAATAAGTGTCGAGATTTAGTTCTTAAAATGAAAATTGCTTTTTTAGTGCTCAATAATATAACGAGAGTCCAATTTATATTTTAATTGAATCTCGTTGATAAAACATTCTTCCTGGCCATAAAATTCCATTCATTCACTTCCAGCATCTTGATTTCATCTCGAAATTTTCATTTTAAAATATATTTTATTATCATTTGGTTTGAAAGTGAGCGTAAAATGTAGTAGCGTATGTATGAAACACAAATGTCACAAAACGAGATCGTGCGCTCAGCGTGATTGAAATAGTAAATTGTGCACTCGGAAGATGTGAATATTGAATTTTTCAGTCTATTATTATGTGCGTGTGTGTGTGTGTCGGCGATAGGGCGTGCGCGAATACGCACATCGCATAAGCGGTATCATGTAATGCATTTCGTTGTAATGAAGTAATGAAACGAAATGAAATGCACTCAGTAAAACCAAAGTTTATTAATGCAATTTAGAAATGCATGAAATGAACATTTTAGAGTCTTGTTTACAAGTTAAATTTACAATCTTCA